AAAGTAAATGATAATATGCTATCTTTCATAACCAACTTTCTATCCAATAGATCAATCCAAGCAAATGGATCTCTGTCACATTCAGTTATAATCAAAAACGAAGTCCCACAAGGATCAGTAATGAGCACCACACTATTTTTAATAGGAATCAACGACATTACCATCAACCTCAAGCCATCAATAAAAACCCAGCTATTTGTGGATGACATAACAATCACATGTAGCAAGAAAAATATAAGCTCCATTAATGAACATTTACAAACAGCCATCAATACCCTTCAGGACTGATCAAAAACAACTGGCTTAAAATTTTCTCCCCAAAAAATCCAAGGCATCCTATTCACTAGAAAAACCAAACGCAATCTCCCACCTAAACTATATCTGAGTAATCTTGAAATAAAGTTCACTCAAAATATTAGGCCTTATTTTCGACAAAAAATTATCTTGGGCGCCATATCTAAAAACCTTAAAAGAGTCCTGTATAAAAAGGATTATAAAAGGATTATAAAGGATTATAAAAACCCTTTCCAATAATAACTGGGGAGCGGATAAAGACACTCTTCTAGAAACATACAGAGCGTTAATTAGATTCAAACAATGGCTCTACCGTTATAACTCAGCCGAAAGCTCCACCAAAAAAATTATAGATCTAATCTCTCACTCAGCTCTTAGACTAGCTACAGGTGTAAACATGTCGCATAAACAGCCTACTACTCGAAGCCAAAGAAATGGTACTTGAATCCAGAAGGAAGTTCCTAACTCTTAAATATGCACTAAAAGTCTCATCCACTCCAAATAATCCTTGCTACAACATCTTCTCCAATAGATACAAAGTTTTCTATCAATAAACCCAAAATTCCCTCCCCTTTTCATATCAGACTCACTATCAGACCAAAATCTTCCAATCCATCACTTTCAAAATCCACCGCATCATTGAACGTAAACCACTACAAATTTCTCCATGGACAATAGAAACATTCCCAACAAACACCAGAGTCTTGCCAAACTCCCCAAAAATATCCTCAGTCCAACTGACCACAGGATTCGATCCCTAGAACTAAATAACAACTACGCCCAACACAGCAAGATTTACACTGATGGGTCAAAAACGGACACTGGAGCTGGATACGCCATTATCACAGAAAAAGCCAAAAAAACAAGCCACAAAATCTCTCTTCTTCATCATCCATCTTCACAGCAGAAACTTATGCCATCCTGGAAGCCATTAAATATGCATACTCAAATAACGAACCCCAGATCGTCATGTACACCGACTCCATAAGCGTTACAAAATCCCTAAATCATATGATCAAGAAAACCAACTAATATCCACCATCCACCAAGAACTAAACCACAACCAACCTAACACAAACGCTACAGTCATCTGGATTCCAACTCATCAAGGAATAGAAGGAAATGAAAAAGCCGACGAAGCAGCGAAAGAAGCCACAGTTCCTTCACTTACTAACAATCGCAACCATCTTCCAATCCCCTGCGACGACCAAATAATCCATTGCAAAAAAAGTAACAAAAAATGAATGGAATAATACATGGAAAACAACTAAAAGCATCCAACTACACAAAAGTATACAGGACTTTCACCAGCAAACACCAAACCTTAACAACAAGAAAAAAGGAATAATTATCACACGCCTAAGAACCGGTCATACCAAGCTGACACATGAACACAAAATCAAAAAGACTACACTACCCACCTGCACTCATTGCAATAACCATCCATTAACAATAACCCACATACTGCACGAATGCCACACCACAGAAACCCAAAGACAGAAATACGGAATCAACGAAAATATAAACCTGACTTCTCAAAATAACATACAAAGAGTATTAAAATATCTCAAAAACATAAACTATTACATATCTAATGGCACCGTCGTCGCTAATGACCTCGCTGTCGATGCGACATTAAGAAAAAATAGAAGAAGAAGAAATAATTTACTTTTTATAGCTGTTTTATTATAAATTCTTTTAAAAGAGTATATAATTGAAATTATTTCTGAATAAAGTCAATTTTACTTACATGTCACTAATTATTAGTTTTTATATAAAAAAAATATATTTTAAAATATATTTTAGAAAAACCTATTTCAATTAAAATTTAAAATAAATTTAAAATTGTTATTATTCATATTTCAAAATCTTTTATTATTAAAAGTAGTATAAGTCTATTTGTAGCTAAAAAATGTTTTATTTCCTTCAACAATTTTATTAATTATTATTACATATAATAATAAAATTATTGACATGTTTATAATTTTAAAAACATTATCCGAATTTATTAATGTTTACCAATTTTTTTTAGTTTATTTGTTCAAGCGCAAATTTTTATATATTTATTCAATGTATAAATAAATGGACTTACACAATTTCAAAAAAAAAAAAATTCATTTATCGTAATTTCAATATTCTTTTATGTATGTCTGGAAAATATTATAGCCTTTAAGTTGTCTCAGTAAAAAATATCTTGGTCACTGACATAATTTTCACTTGTGAAAAACATTAAGTAAACAGCTCGAAAAAGACAAAGGTCGGAATCAGATTTTACATTGCTCCGTCACGGTATAGCTTCCTGTCAAATGAAGTCGAAGAAGTATTGGGAAGACGTAGAGTCAATTTCGCGCGACAACCCAGATGAACTCATGTAGAACTCATGTAGAATGTATACGCTGTAGAATGAATAAACTCGATAGAGTTATCGATACAGTACGGTCTTGTTAAATGGCCATTCTTGCGGTACGATGGACAATATTCAGTGATCTGGGAATTCAACTGTGCTTTTTTTCTATTGCCTTTTTCTACTGACGATCTTGAAAATGTAGATCACGCGGCGCATCTATTGGACACTTGGTTGCTCGTGTTGTTTCGAAAATTATTAAATGCTTTGGGCAATTTTCGGGATGAATGAGTAAGAAAAAAGACACGTTAGGAACAATCGTTGCATTGAAAAAAACGCGAATACAAATCTAAAAAAATGTGTGATAGAATGGAGACAGTGTGTTTCATAGGTTCGGAAGAGTGAGAATTGTTTATATCGTGGCTTTTTATGCTCGTCAAGTATCTAGGAAACTAGAAATGAATTCCCGAGACATTGTTCATTCGGATACAAGAAGTGCAATAGAAAGGAAGCTTCTATGCGCAGCGCGTTCCCGATAAATCGTACGAGCACAAAGGAACCCACGAACGACCATCTTTTAAGAGGATAACCTTTTTAACCTGGGATGCCGCCCAGGGACAAGAAGTTCACGATCTTACAGATGAATATTACGGAACAACTGACCTCAAAGAGAGTCCCGTTTTTGTGGTTTAAATGGGATCCTTTTTATCTTACCTACTGGAAAACCTTCTGGATCGAGACTCTATTTGTGACTACTTCTTTTAATCTTAACTTTTCACTTGAGGGAAAAGAAGGGTTTCGCTTACGACCGTTCGATTACTTTATTTTTCCGACTCGATCTTAACGAGCCACTTGGCCGACGATCATGTTTTTTTCTGTCATCCCAGATATAAAATCCGAGATTTATTAGTCGAATATAGTTTGTTGAAGACATGTAAATCATGGAAATGTAAAATTAAAATCAGATCATCTAACAAGACGATCACGAGAAGTATTATATATACACATTTGAAATAAGAACGAATCGAGATTCCTTACACATCGATTAAGGTTGTACTCGCGGTACATGGATCTTCGTTTGCCGAATACCGTCGTAACGGGAACGCTCGTGGTGGAAATAAGCGACAATTTGCTGTTAGATTAATATCTCGTCGATGGCATCGTGGTGTCTGCCAAAAGCGCATACTTATTGCACCCGGTACTGAGAATCCCTCCTTTAACAAAGTGTAACGATGCGCAACATTCAAGCATTGCGAAACCACATTTATGGTGGTTGCGAGTTGGAGATCAGGGGAACGAAACTACTGGCTTAGCTCGGCAAAGGCAGCCTTGAATAAATTAATTAACCACTGGGAGAGCGAAGAGAGGGTTAGAAGCGGAAAGATGGGAGAATATTAAGTCTTTATTAAGATCATATACACCGGATTCTCAGAATTTATTACAAAGAAAAGTTCAAACTAATTCAATCGAGACTTCCCAAAATAACGTATTAGTCGTCACGTTTATACAATTCCGTTTGATTTAATTGACAACGATTTTCTGCATTTACGTTAATTGTCATCGAGAATTGTCTGGCACTCCATCACGTTTTGTGGTCTTTTAACGTTTTATTAGCATGCGTGAATTACTGATAAACTAAATGTAGGAAGAGTTGAATTTCTCTTAAATAAGTTAATCGATCTGCTTGATGAGAGCAAAGGAAAAGGGTAGAAGACTGCTTAAGATTAAATGACGCGACGTGCCACTCTTGCGGTATCACATATAGCTCATTTTTGGCTTGGTGCAAAACACTTAACAACGATCATCTTTAAATCTATATTTTCTAACTATACTATGTTACGATAGTTATTCGTTTGCTTTAATACTGTAATTCGTTACATTATAGATACGTAAGGTCAAAGAATTTTCTTTGTTGAAGCGTACGAGCGCTATGAACCCTCTCTGAAGAGTAGCCTGGCTTACAGTGACACAATGGAAGTGCTTCCGAATGGGTCTGCTAGTCGCAACAGTTATAATGACAGACGAAGAGATCTTATTAAAGTTCCACTTCACCGCCCTTTCGCTAGGGTTTCTCAAAGTTCCTTGAGATCTTTGTGAAGTTCTCTATTTCACGTTGACATACATAAAACAAAACTGCAGCCAACTTTTCCACGATGCTTGCCTGCTGGCTGATAACGCGAAAAGCGCTGACTGAGATTGCATAAACGATGTTGTTTTGCAAAGATAAAGCGGACCAGGAATTAAGGCAGAAATCATAACTCAGAAGAAGAAACGTGAAGCAAAAATGATTCAGATCCGAATATTTACGGATATTTGAGGATAATTACTATTGAATTTGGTGGGAAAAATTTTTCTCACTTACGTTGCATGATTGGTCTTCTTCGTCCCACCGGAAACGACAATTGATCCTCCCGTTACATTGCAATTCAGCGGCGATACACGTTGCGTCCTCGCAGTAAAATTCACTATCGAGGCAAGCTACAACAAATTAACAAGAACATATAACATTACTATGCATCTTCGTTGCAATTAAGCTTCTTATGTAGCGTCTCTTGCGGCACAATATTGTGTATGAAAAAAAAAAAAAAGCAAAGAAAAACGAAAATAGTATGAAATTTTACCAATGTCGACTTCTTAATCTACTATTCTTACGATCTCGCGCTTGCTACGAACTAAGAACAAAACGAACAAAACGTGCAATACTGTACTATGCGAGAGATAGGGAAATAACTAGATTTTGCTCGGTCCCATAAGTAAGTCACTCGTAAGATATTAGTTCTGTGGAGGAGGGGACAGGTGTGGAGAAGCTGAGATTCTTCTGGTGCAGAGATAGAATAGGGAATTTCGTATGCGTATCTGCACCGCTGCGGTTTACTTCATTTGCCATTCAACCAAATCTTCCATTAATTCACCACACCAATCCTTCCACGGCTGAGTATTTTTTGTTTTGTTTTTTAAAATATCGTACGAATAACAGAAGTAACTTCGGATCGGTGCATTTTTTCGTGTCGGAAATTTTATCTCGAATACATCGTTCTACGGAATTTTAACAATGTTTCGTATTGCTCGACGATTCAAGCTCCGCGAAAAATTTCATATTTTGGTAAAAGAATTATTCCTTGGTAAAAGAATTATTCGAAGCATGCAGGGAAACACGTGTCGGGTCAATTGAAAGGGCTGGCTCGAAAATAAGAAACTTTCATTAGAATGAAATCGTATTCTCAATTATTGACATTCTCATTTTCCAATTTGCTACATTCTAGTATACTATCAATATTTCGTTTATTATTAACGAGTTGTTTTTGCGTAACCAACATAACGTTACTGAACCATTGGTAATGAGTCACTTTGGTTAATGGACTATCCACATCGCTAATATTTACCGATTTATGATCGTTGACAGGGAAATAATAATCTTTCGTTTTACAGACGATTAGTCGAGCAATTATCTAATTGCTCTTCCGTTTCTTCCTCGTATTTTTCATTGTTTGCATGCTGTGTTATATAGCGCACGCGAGACAACGTTAATTTATAGATTTCCATTAGACCGTATCTCTCTATTTCCGAACACGAAAGGGATTTTCAACGAATAAGGCACGCCGATGTTGAATTTAATGAAACTTAACATTGAAATTACCTGCGTGCCGTGAACAAAAACATTCGCAATATTCGTACGACATGCGTTATAATTGAAATTAAACTTTCTTCTCCAAGGCAGTGCGTGAAAGATCATTAGTACCATGCGTGTTCTATTATTATCTGACGAATTGTTGGAAAATATAATTGTTCACTGTAAAATCCAATTGTTGTAAAATATAATGATAATTTCCCTTTGCCTGCTAGCAGCTAATTCGCATCGATAATCTTCCATAATTTGTCTGTATTCATTTCGCGCTAATTAATTAATAATTTTATCAAACAAATCAATATCTACATACTTTATCGAGACGAACGATTTCCGTATGCCGTGTTTAAAGCTTTGCTCGCCAATACACATAACTGATATTTGACATTTTTACGCAATGATAAGTCGTAATATGTTGATTAACATTATTGGCTGATATTTTGCCTCGAAATATCGTTAATGTAGGAAAGGAAAGATTCTGTCAATTCGAAGTGTACGTTTAACAAAAAATGCGATACTCCAGCAGGGCAAACGATTATGATCAATGTGAATTCAGGATATTAATCATTATTGATATTAATTATCGAATAATCAATAATCACTGATTAATGAATAAGAATCGTAATTGTTGTAATCATTAATCATGAAATTGATCATGATTGCACTTTTGATTATGCTATAATTTGTAATATACTTATAAAAAGATACATATTTATAAAAAAAATATTGTAAATATTTTGTGAAAACATATTTATTATTTTTATTGTCTTAAAGAAACATAATAACATATAATTTGCATTGCAACATTATTTGCATTTTACGCCCAATCCTATAAGAATTTGTTTTACTTTTTTCAGGTAAATCAAAAAATTTTCCATCAACAATAATTGGATGGAAACTGATTTGCATAATTCTTAAATCGCTATTGGCACTATCTTCTATAGGATTTGATAAAGACAAACCTATTTAATGATAAATTATCAAAATTTTGAGACTCTTTACAATACTCATTCATTTTTATATCAAAAATATAAAATCATTAAGTTGAATGATTTTATATTTTTTTATACCAAAGATATAGGATCATTAAACCTCATAGAAAACGTACATATTTCGAATCATTCATACAAATTGTGAATACAAAATTATAACAAATTATAGAGAATATGCCAATTGACAAAAGAAATATCATGTTTCAATAGGACAGAGATTCAAAGCATATGGCAAAAAGTGTACATACAAATGCAACCATTTCAAATTCTAAACTGGTCAGTCTTAAAGTCCAAAGTCCAGACCTTAATCCCGCAGAGAATCTTTGGGTAATTCTCAAGAAAGAAATACAAGATGCATATGATTTTTTTTTTCCATATAATATCGACCAATTATAGAAAAGAATTGAAGAGCAACTGTATGCAATCTCTCGTGAAGTATGTAAAATTTGGTGGAAAGTATGCAGCCGTTTTAAATAGTGCCGATTTAAGAAACAATAAAAAATGATAACTCAATATTTTGTCCACAGTCCCTTAGCACAAATTGAGTCAAAAACATATTCATATAAATATCAAAGTAAATGTAATAAAATTGTTAAACAATTATTATATTGAAATAAGTACAGATTAATAAATCTAACAAGAGTAATGTAGATAATTAATATAAAACGAGATTAATATAAATTGATATAGATTAATATATGTATACCTATCGTGATGTACAAATAAATTATATTTTTTTTTTTTATAAAAAATTACTTGCATTGATTCAATTTTACTTCTTACTGTATATATATATTAGAGAATAATAAATTTCAACAAATTAGAAACTCAACAATACAGATATTGTAATAGCATACTATTGTGCAAAAAGGATTATGCGTAGAGGTTCTCTAAGATTGAATATAAACTCAAACGACACAAGCATCTCTAAAATGATATATGTACATATGTGTATATATGTACGATGTGTATATATGATAAAGTTTCGATGAAGTTTCGATGAGGTGTTATTCAAAAACCCTGAATTGCCGATTTTGATGAAATTTGGCATGAATGTAGTTTTCAAAAAAACATTCGACTCATATTTTTTTTTATCGGTTAAAGGGATGAAAATTGCCCTCGAAGTTGGGGGTGCGAAACATTTTGTTAAATCTCGGAAATTATTGAAGACAGTTTTTGTGTAAATTGATGAAATTATATATTTTTTAACGACGAATTTAATAGTGTAAACCGTTTTGCAAAAAAATTTTTTGTTTGAACAATATATTTAAAAAACCGTATTTTTGGTGCAAGCGTTTACACTGAACGTGTTAAAACAAAATGAAGAAATATATATAACATGTAGTGCAACTTGCAATGTATAGATACATAATACAAATCTTAATAAAATATAAATTAATCACTTAATGATTTGAAGATCATTAATTAATGATTACAAATTACAAAAATTAATCAAGTTTACTGATTTATTTTGACGATAATTAATAGATTGACGATTACGATTTCTGTGATTATACTCATAGGAATGATTGAAAAATAATTGATTACTGCCTAATTCTGTAGCAAGGGGAATGTAGGCATTATTTTCGAACTTCAAAAATGGCAAGCATATTCGATAAAATATATATAATTCGTGGACGATATTATGCGGAGATAAACGCTATCGCAGACAACGGTGTACAATTAATCGAGAATGTTTGTGAACTCACGTTTGTCTCCCGGATCTCTGTCTCTGAGCGCTGTCATGACGGCCTCAAAGCTGCTGTTCAACGCTTTGGGTTCTGCGTAAAACCTGACAAAGGCGGTATTGGTCCCGACGAGAACGGTGTCGGCGATGCTACCGCAGAAATTCTTCTCTCTCGAGGACATGTCAGTGCGTTCTTTGAATATGTCCACGAAGTTGGCGTCGCACTCGTTTGGTCGTTGCAGTTTGAAAGGATCCGAGAACGTCAGCTGAATCTGAAAGTTGTACGTGTTCCTGTGATATAAACCCTACGAGGAATCCTTTCTCTTCCCCTCCGTCTCTATCTTGATGACGAACGAAAAAACTCAAAGCTTTTCACCAATTAGGCAGTACATTTTATGAGGAACGTCACAATTACCTACAATTTTGTGTCAGACGCGATTTTGTTTGACCAGACGGACGTTCAAATAATGGCGGGATGAAATGAATCAAATGCTGCCTGACAAAGGCACCTGTCATGTAACATTTTAGATACCATTCAAGCTACATGACGCATTGCGCGTTTGAAGTTACGTTCGTTTATTAGTGAACAGGCTTAAAAGATTGTCAAATCGTTATCAACGAGGGGAAATGTTTCGCGAAACACGACGGTGTTGATAATGAAATTGACATTGCGACAAAGATGTAAATTAACAAATTTACCTTCCATCCTTCCTCAACGGTGATGTTCCACATGCAGTCCAAAGGGATACCTTCCTTCTCGGCAAGAGTCTTCCTGTCTTGCACGTCGTTGCTGCTAATAATTGCCTGCACGCCATTCACGTATCTTACGCATGGCTCTGGTTCTGGTGGTACTCCCGCTGTGAATCACACCTATTACAGTATTACACTTTCCCTAGGCCATTGTCAGGTGTTTATTTACATCGACTAACTCGCCCGTACGTTTCATTTTTCGCGCGCAATGCAACTCGCTTATTTACAAGTACCGATGTCAAGGTTCGAGGACCTATTCATCATAGCAGCGTTTCTTAGGTTTTCGGAAAAAATACAAAGAGAAAAGAAAAGAAAGAAAAGAAGAAAAACAAAAAAAAAAAAGAAAGAAAGAAAGAAAGAACAGAAAAGAGAGAAAAACACCGACCATGGAAAACGACGAAAAATTTCCAACTATTGTTCTAGAAATAATTAATTTCCCGCACTGAATTGGCATTATAAAACTCGGACTCGGCGGTGCACAATGAACGAGGGAAAATTAATCAAACGGCTGAAAAGATTCACCCCTTCGGCATCCGATTAATTTCGTCACTCGTTGGTGCTTGAATTTGACGTTATCATCGTGGCGTTTTAATATTTGTCCCTCGTTAAGCCTGATTTGGGAAAGTCTCCAAAGCCATGCGTTTTGGAGCGTACTGAGAGCAAGCGAATGCTCAAACGGCATTCATCGCTTCGAATCTGAGAAAGTGCATGGAAATAATGAGCTGTATGAGACGTGGAAAAGCAACGAATATCGATGCTGTATATTTGGTAATCTGGCGTGATTTAGTAGAGTGAAACGCAATTTTACAAGAAAATTTTACGTGATACGTAGTTGCAAAGTTATAATTTATTAACATTACGTAATATTAATTTATAAAATTATATGAAAAAGCAAAATTACAGCAGACATGTTCCATCGTATGAACAATTATTCTTTAATTTCCAACTCGAAACTTGTTTCCAGTTCTAACATTTTATGAATTGTTAGAGGAGTGAAATGAAATAGTAACAGTGTTTCGGTACAGTTACAGAAATTACGTTGGAATTATTTTTAGTTAGCTCGGAGTGCTAGTTTCTTGGTAGAAATTCTCCGATATACAATTTATTACTGGTCAAGATAAAAAAATTTTGCACACAGATCCCAGCTGGATTGGAAAATTCGTTGAATTGGATGCTTCCCAACGTTCGCCGACGTCGCTGGGGCTAATGTCCGACCAACTATTCTAATTTGAGGATCACCGTGCCGCCGTTCGTCACTCACGTTTGTTTTTAATGAACGAACAACAATTAACGTAAATTTCACTGCGTATGTTTTTTGGAAGACATAAAATTCGTCGAATACGAACCAGCAAAATATTCTTCCTGGTGCAAAATATTGATTCAATCAATTTCTAAAACCATAACCTACTGACACGTGGTGTATAGATATCATTCTCGTATAACCTATATAAAATCATTTGCAATCATGGATCTCGTATTTCGTGAACAATCTCAACGGTACAAATTCTCGGTTGGAGCGCGATTCGTTCCTAGTAAAAAAATTTCACACTGTATACACCGTGACAACGTGACGGGCGAGTAGAAGAATCGTGATACCATAGACTTACGATAGGTTGGTCTTGGTATCATACTCCAGACGGCCTTGAAGCCCTTGCCCTCGATGCTATCGTCACTGTGGAACCGCAACCAGAGATATCTCGTCTTCGACGTGATCTCTGGGGGGAAATTCGTGCCACAGAAGTTACCAAGGAGATTGGAGTAGCCGTGCTGACCGTCACGTACCTCAAGGAAATCGTAACGGCAGTCGGCGCTCTCCTCGAGCTTGAACTCGTCTCGAAAGTCGAGCTTCAACAGCATGCCCTCCTTAGCTGAAACGAGAGAAGTGTAACGTTGCGGTTAAAGAATGTTTTTCAGAATTTAGCGATTTTTATATTCGTTGAAAAAAATGTTCCTCGACGTCTTATTATGTTAATGATATTTCAGAAAAATATTGTTTATTATATTATTTTTATTTTCGCAGATTGTGCTGTCTAGTAACAAAACTCGGCTGATTGATCAGCTCATATGATAAATATTTTAATTTTGTTAATGTGAAAAGTCGTCCCAGTCGTCCAGTCAAATTATGTAACTTTCGACTCATTTTACGCCAAAAAAATATTATAAATATTCAATTTACAGTTTTCCACAGTGCTTTTCTATCAATTACAAACAGAAAACAATTCATTTATCGCGACGAATTCTTAAAAAGAATTGAACGTTAAAGGAAGCGGAAGAAGCGTTTAGTTTTCAACATACAAGTGTGTACGGAACGAAAGTTAGTGCAGTGAACGAAAGTTCAGATTCGTCGCATCTTTGTCAGACACGTTATCTAACAAGCGTTAGATACCATTCTTACGTTTTCCGCGCAATAAATCGAAATGGATGATCTGTTCTAGGCTTCAGAATCTTGGGCGTACAGTAATCTGAACGTGCAATTTGTAAAATCAGGCTGTTTGATCGCTTTCTTACTACTGAACTTGCGTCGTGCATAAAATCCGGTCGATAGATACGATCTGTAATGAAGCTATTGGGATGCAAACGCGACTTCACATCCCCCGCACGTACTAAGATTATCCAGGAATTATTTACCGCGAATTGATCGTTTGAATTCACTTTATCTTTCCAGACAACGAGAAGATTTCTATGACATTTGGATCACGTGGCTCGTGATGTGCGCACAGTTTTCATGTATCGCCTCATTTGCTGAATCGCAGAGAGATCGCTGCCGCTCTGTCGAACAATTAATCTGCTTCCAGTTCTATGGTTCCTCTTAGGTATAATATATTATTTCAACGTAACAAAGATTCCTCCATCAAAATGGGACACACACACGCGGGGCGGGTGCATGCGCGTACACGAAATTGTTGCTAAATTCCAAACGGTTCAATGAACGTTACGCTTTATACTGCATAATACCGCTGAGATCGACCAAACGGTCAAACAAAATGTATGATAAATAGAGGAGGTTCGTTCATAAATACTTGGTATTTGCGAATGAAATATCTCATTAGTATTGTTTATTGTAAGTGGCATAAAAATTTATATCTGACCGATCGCGATAATAAGAAAGTTATTGGCTGAGAATTATAGAAGCCACATATTTGTTCTTAAATATTCCCCAACTAACTATTTGTTCTCGAATGTTCGCTATTCGAGGAAATAGATCATCTATTTTCATGGCAATCAAAAGTGTGCAAACTATTTCCATGAATAATACGTGAATAACGTACTCACAGAAATGTTGTAAATTGTACGTCATAAATTGTTTAGATAATTCTGATGAGGCTCTCGAGTATTATTAATGACTTTCTCACTATATTCGCGGTATTGTGGACCACCATTTTTTTCGTAAATTATAGTAAAGTTTTTGAAAAAAGTTGTTACGTTTTTTGCAGCCAACATGATGGTTTACATATTTTAATTTTTTATATTTTGCAATGTTGTTTAAGAAACGAAAGTAACCATTAATTAAATACAGCTCAACTTTCTTTATTAAAAGATATTTAATTAATTCCATAAAATGTAATACATGAAATGTAAACATAACTGTAAGATTGACAGTATTCTTGTGTACTGTTGTATTTTCCTTGTCTTTCATGCATAAATTTTATAAAATTGTATTTAAAATATCTCCTGCACTAATAGTTTTTTGACATAGGTTAAAATGTTGATCTGCATCAATTAACACGATCACTGCGGTATAGGGAGTTGTTTCAAAATATTTCTTTCTCCCGTGCGTTTTGTTTTTTTATTATTTTTAAAATTAAGAACAAATTTTCTTTTTGCCGCCAAATATAAAAATGCAGTAAGGTATATACGTCGAACTGCGTACAGGATCCATTTATCTTTTAGTATCACCAAAAAGGAAAATCTAATATGACCAATCCATCGTAATCTATACAGGACATTTAGCTCGTGTGGCCAAATAAGAAAGTTCATGGCGGGGCTCATTTGTCTTGTATTCAGTGGCAACTCGTGGAATTGCAGCACTCACAATTTTTCTCGATATATATTTATTAATTTATTTATATTCGCTTGCAATATTTAATTTTATCGTCAAGAATCCTATAGAATTCTTCCTTTGCATAAAAAATAATAAAAACCCACTATATTTATTATGTGTAAAAGTTGCAGCATCTCCATGATTTTAAGCCATTTACCGCCATTACTCATATTACTAAATGGAAAGGTTCCAAAGAAAATGAACGTATTAATAAAAAAAACATATCCTTTTATTTAAAAACTTGAATCATCTTCATCTTTGTTTTTTCAACAACATTGAAAATATAAAAAATTAGAGTATGCCATCTGTATGTTTGCTGTAAAAAACATTACCTTTTTCACTTTTCTCAAAAACTTACCATTTATGAAGAAAATGCTGGTTCACAATATACTATGAATACCCTGTGTAGACGCGTAGGAATGTAATGCCCACGACAGAGCGCTATTATTTTCACTCATATATTTGTGCCACGCTATGAATGAAATTTTGGCTATCATCTGCGACTAACAATAAACCACGCAAGACGCGAATTCATTTTTGTCTGAAGGACGAATGAATGAATTTTCTAGACAGCATGTTACCAAGAACGGGAAATTCCTCATGACATGGTGTTCTCATCGAAACGAAAAAATCGTCATTGATAATTACTTTCGATTTCTCTCTCTCTCTCTCTCTGAATCGAGAATAGCGTCATATGTGGCGCAAAAATGCCGTGACTTACCCATTCGAACAACGAACGTTCTTCGGCTCTTATTTGAATGGCGAAGCTCAAAATGCTTCGAATCTTCCACGTTGGCGAGACCGCGTTTCATCGAGATGAAGAGAAGAGGAAGCGATAAAAAGCGGCGCGAAGGAGGACAGAAAAAAGAAAGGAAAGAATAAAGGTGCGCGTCGTGACTATTTTCTCGGAGAGGGAGGAAACTCTAAAGCGGCGGCAATCTCGCCTCCAACCACTGTCCGCTTTCGTATGAAAATACCAGTATTCCAGTCGAGGAACGGTCGATCGCGTTTTTCAACGCGATCCAAAGAATCTCCTCGCTTCGTTATCTTCGGATTGTGTCACCTTCCGCCTGCTGCTTGTAATCATTGTGGAAATTAAGGGCCATTCTCAAAGAGTTTCACAATTCGTCGCTATTATACAACGTTCACTATTTCTTTCACTGTCAATTCGTCTTTTGCATTTCCCTTTGAAAAATTTTTCGAAAACCAATAAATTTTCATTTAGAAGTAAATTTCGTGGCATCACATCTGTCACATCCGTAACAGGGTCTCGGTGCAGCCCCGATGCTGTACTGGATGCCACGAATTTCTATCGACCTGCGGAATTACCTAATCGCCGAGCGACAAACGTACCGCGAGAAACAACGGATCTAGAAATTTCGAGCAAGAGGGCGTGAAATCTGTTCCGAGTTGAAGTTTCGGCCGTTCTGGATATCTAATATCAAATTTCACCGCGTCTGAGTTACTGCGAACATCACGTTTACTTACGAAACGAACGGCTTCCGTCATTGGGGAACTTGTCTGTGCTATGAAACATGCAAATATACCAGTATTCGCGATATTAGTATATATCACGGTTCCACTCTGAAATCCAATGAGACTTGTCTACCTCGGAATCCATTGTTACATTCCTCTCTCGATAAGTCCATCGAGTTTTCTCGCCGATACTTCATATTTTTCGTAATTTATGTTCGGGAGAGCATACCTTCCGAGGTCACGAAGCTTGTACAAATTTTCGCACATTTTCCATTATTATTCCTGGGAAGTTAGGGGAAAAGCTCGAGGGTGATTTCTAGGCGAACGTGATTAGGATTTCTTCCAGTGGCAGGAAATTTATTGGCAACTATTGGGCATAGATTTTACCCATCATGTCGGATATCGACAAGTATCGATAAGGATAAAAGGAACGCCTTTCTCATGTGTTCTCTCGTGAAAAAATATTATAGCCGTACGTGCTTAGCTTTTGGGTAGCTAAAATTTATCAGTATCTTCTCTCCTTCGACTAATTTGAATTATTTTAGGAGAGAAGTGTCGTGGTGAATTATAACGAATATATATATATATTCCTTATACAAGGTGTCTCAACTAAACGGAACCATTTAAATTTTTGTTATATAAAAAAAAACTTCTGATAAAGTTGCATAAGGCTTCATCGAACGGTGGAAAGAAATTTTTTTGAAAATCATTTTTTAAGAGATTTGAAGATTATCGGTAATTTTTTAAACGATACTGTGTATGCATGCTAAGTTCGGGTGAGATGGTTCGACCTCATGTTATAGATTATTAAATGTCAATATTCAGCCTTTCTTAGTGGTATATTGTATCTATAGATTATAAACCATATGAACCGCCCTTATTGTTCATTTTCATTTGAAAAGTAAAATAAGATATGTACAATGTGTATAATTGAATCTCGAAAATTTTCTGTCTTAAATTATATACTTTAAACTATACTTTACTAACATTTTACCAAAAAGTTATGATTTTTTTGGAATACATGTTAACATAGTGTTTAGAGGTTATGGTTACATTTCTGTAATGAAATATTGTCGTATCATTATAAAAAAAGTAAGTTATCCCAGACTATCGGGATAGATGGTCCGTTTTTTTAGGAAAGAGTTGACCCATCATGAAATTATGTATAATAGTTAGTAAATGTTTTTCTAGAAAATTATGCCGAATGAATATAAAAAGGAATTCAATAATAGAGCATTATGAACAAATGAAGAGGCAGTTCAAAATGGCAAAATGGACGTAAATATGGAATGTTTTCGGCATTCCAACTCCTAAGGAGACGACTGAAAAATAATGATTATTGAAACAAAA